CTTGATCCTGGCTTTAATCACAGCAAGACAGAAATTTTCACTGATGCAAAAACAGGCAGAGAATTTCTGGCTCAAGGTCATAGAGCTAATAAATAAATTGCCCAACTACATTTTTTGGCCCAATATGACTTTGTAATTATAAGATTTGGTTCATGTGCTAAGGGACAAGCCAAAAGCCAAAAGATGATTTGCAGGAACTTCTGAGTTGATGGAGCTCAAGTCTTACTCTACTTGGAAACCCTCATCCTGTCAAGAGCTTTCTTCAGAGCTTCCTTCACTTCCTTGTTTCTCAGACTGTAGATCATTGGGTTCAGCATAGGTATGAGCACAGTGTAAAATACTGACACAATCTTGTCCTTCTCGAGGGATTTGCCCATATTACCTTTCAGGTATATAAATATGAGTGTCCCAAAGAAAAGAGTGACTGCAGTCATGTGAGAAGCACAGGTGGAGAAAGTCTTGGCTTTGCCACCTATTGCATGAATCTTCAGAATGGCCCGAATGATGAACAGGTAGGATATAAGAATCACCGAAACGCTGGTTGTAATGACCGAGAAAGCTAAGAAGTAGATCACCTGTTCCCGTAGCCAGGTCTCACTACAGGCAAGCTTCATCAGGGGTGGAAGGTCACAGAAGAAGAAGTCCACTTGGTTAGACTTACAGAAGGAGATCGAGAAGGTACACCCAGTGCGGACCACAGAATTAAACATGCCACCAGCGTATGCCCCGGCCACCAGCCCCAGGCGAGTCTGTGGTGTCATGGCAGTGGCGTAAAGGAGGGGGTTACACACAGCCACATAACGGTCATAGGCCATCACAGCCAAAAGGAAGCATTCAGCACTAGCACAGAGTGTGAAAAAAAAGAACTGGGTGGCACAGCGCTCAAAGGTAATGACCATCTTATCAGTATCCAAGATCTCAAGCAACTGAGGGACGATAACAGAGGAGTAGCAAATGTCCAGGAAGGAGAGGTGGCTGAGGAAGAAGTACATGGGAGTCTGCAAGCGAGAGTCACTCTGAATCAGCACGATCATGCCCAGGTTGCCTACCATGGTGATGAGATAAAGGACCAGGAACACAAAGAAGAGACCCATCTGCAGCTCTGCCTGCACCTGGAACCCCAACAGAATGAATTCTGTCACCAGAGTGCCATTCTCTGCCATGAATCCTAGGTTGTCTGCTGAAATAAAAAAATAAAATAAAGTCTCATTGAAGATAAATTAAGGGGAGCATAGCTTGATTTAACCATTTTCAGTAATGATAACAACCTTTTAGATGTGTAAAACACTTTACGTTTTTTACAAATTTTATTTCATTTGATCTTTCAGAAAGCCTTGGAAGCGTATATTGTTAATCCCATTTTCAAAAGAAGAATACAAGAGTCCAAGAGGTGAAGTGATTAGTTCATGATTTCGTAGTTAGCGAAGAGGCAAAACCGGAACTAGAACTCAGTTTCTTAGACATTTTCAAACTTCTGATAGGTTCCAAATTGGAAACCTTCATCAGCCTCAATGAAGAGGCAGGAAATACCTCTTTGTTGGAGAAACCCTAGTGTTAGAGTGTTAAGGTCATGGGCTTTGAAACCAGACCTAGGTTCAAATTCCTGGAGATCTTGGGCAAGTCAATTTATCTTTCTGAGCCTCAACATCTTTGTTGGCTTAATGGGGATTTCAACACCAAAAGTCACAATATTATTGTGAAAGACATAACATACTATGCTGAGCTTGTGGTCGGACTCACATACTTAGAATTATTTTTTCTAAATTATGCAACAATATGAGTAACGTGCTCTCAGGTTCATGTACATTTTGGAGTCTTATCTCCAAGTCCACAGGCCTGGAGTCCTAAAAATCAACTCTATTTTTGCAGTTCTTTTCATGTGCATATGAGTGGAATGGCGTTGGATGCAAGACAGTGAGCCGTGAAGAGCAAGCACTGTTAGAATCTCTACAACCTGTCAAGGGCTGAGTTCCTCTCCATTCCTGCCAACCAGCATGACCAGGTTTCTAAGATCTTCCCTTATTCCAAAGGACCTGTCTCATTTTTTTAAATGCCAGATCAATATCAATCAGTGAGTTACATGAATCAAGTCATTCCAGAATTAGCCTGCTTATTAAGGGACAAAGCCATCACACTGAATTTAGAATTCTAATATAGCTAAAGTTCTTGCCAGGTTCTTGGACAATCTCACCTCTGTGCCTTTGGATGCTGATAATTTGGGGTAATGGAAATACTGAATACTTCAAAGGTGATTCTTCTTGTCCTCCTTCTAAACTTGAAATAAAAACTGAAGTCGGTTTAAAAGGTCTCATAAGATTCCAGATAAATAAGAAAATGAAACTTTGCTCAACATTTGACAAAAGCTGATCTACTGATAAAATAAAAGTCATCATCTGGTGTTTTTCCTCCACTGAATTTCTGATAATGTAAATATTTAGGAGGTTTTTTCCCCTTAGGGCTCAATCTAATCCTGACCTTTAGCCAAAACAATGATTTTCTGTGTTATAAAAGGAATTCACACATATCATCCTGACCAAAGAGGTGGGGGAAGAGAAAGATAATACATTCATTTATTTATTTATTCAGTAAGAATCTACTGAGAACTTACCATATGCCAGACACGCTTCTCGAGGCTCAGAACAGTAAACAAAGAGCTTCTCCCTGGTAGAGCTGTCCTTCTAGCAGAGAGCTAAGCATATGCAATATATTTTTAGAGTATATTTCTACCATGATAGAAGATGATAAGTGTTATATAAAATAAAAATGAGAAAGAAGAAGAGCAGGGTGTGGGGAATTGGGAGGGCCAGAGTAAAAAGAGAGCTATTCAATAGAACCATCAGAGATGGTTTCTTGAAAAGGTAACATTTTAGCAGAAATGTTGGGGATCAGGTAACTATTTACTCATATTCACACACATCATTTATCCACAAACAATAGAAAATAAAGACACGAATCACCAGCACTGAACCACCCCATTTCCGTTACAAAATATACAGAGTTCTTCAGGTTCTTGTGAGTCACTTTCAAGGCAGCTTTGTTCAGAAGTGTCAGCCTCCTGATACGGAGAGAAGCCGGTAGGTCTCTCAGAGGCTCAGTGATCAGCTTACGATCATTTAATATAAAAGTAAGGCTAGAATCCCAACAATAGAGCATAGTGGTTAAGAAAATGAGCCCCGAAAACAGGCAAAGCTTGTTCCAAACTCAGACTCAGTAACTTCTATTTGTGTGACCATGGACAAAGCAATTGACCTCATGAGTCTCAGTCTGATATCTATTGCAATAACAACAGCACTGTTGTACTGTGAGAGGTAAAAGAGATAATTCATGGAAACATGGGCAGCGCACCAAGTACACAGTAAACACTCACTCCGTGTTAATTGTTACAAAAGTGATTTTTCAACCACTAGCTCTTTCTACCATTCAGAAATTTAATTTATCTCCATTTTATTACTGAGTCAAATGAGGCTCAAAGTGGTTAAACCAACTTGCTCAAGACCACGCAGTTAATAAATGGCACCAGGACTTCTGGCTCCAAATTCATCATGCTTTCTGCTAACCTGCACCGTGGCTCACCACTTCGGTCTAGGAAGTAGGACACTGTAGTCCAGCTTCAGGCAGCCCCAGCTGGAGAGGTACAAGTCAGGAGACCCACTTCACTCCACTACTCCCCTAAGAGACTTTTAGATCTCCTCTGGGGGAGGGCAAGTATTTTCCTTTGGAGGGGAATGTCGTGGTAGGAGAGGGGCAGTTGATTATGATGAGCCAGAGAGATTCATTGTAGGAAGGCTGGAAACAGCGTCTGGAGCTCCGAATTCAAGTCTGATTTCTGCCACTGATATAAACTTGAACAACTATCTTCCTGTCTGAATCTGTGTCCTCATAGGCGGAGGCTGCACTAAATGACCTCAAACATTGCATCTTGTTCTATAATATGATGGTCTCTCCTTTACTGAAAGTCTAATGAGGCAGGGAAAGAACATGTGTTAATAATAATAACAAAGAATGACATTAAGCACATAAACTGTGTGTCAAATACTGTTCAAGGTGTTTTCATAAACTGCCTCATTTATTTCTCACAATACTCCAACGCTGGATATTGTTATTACCCTATTTATAAACTGGAAAACAGGAGGTTGCAGAGAGTAATTAATTTGGTTTAAGTACACCACTAAGCCGAGACGTGAAGCATGATCTGTTGGACTCCAGGGCCAGGCTCCCAACAGCTGCCCACTGCTCACGAGTATGACGTTAACAAGTTACCACATAGTGAGCATCATTTTTATGCCCAAGATTTTTTAGCAGCTTTATATACATTACTCCCTACATTTGGGCAAGGAGGACAGCAATATAAGTTAAATAAAGATTTTGGAAAATGACTTCAATTCTGAGTTGGAAAGACTGTATGTTCTCTTTTTGGTAGTATCACCTGTACATGTCACATCTTGTCATCTTGTCCACAGAAATGGGAGGGCAGAAGAGATGCACAGGGCTACCACCAAATCAGACTCCAAGGAGGAGTGTGCAGCCACCGAGGCACCATCACCTCTAGTACAGTTTTAAGTGACAAGACAAAAGTCACGTGAACCAACTTTGCTCCTGGCTCCTCGTTACCGCCTACCTGTACTTGCCCTTTGCCCAAATCTCATTCTTCATTTTTAATTTATTTTATCTCGCTGCATGCCGTGCATTTTTATAAGCCACTTTATATCTCTTTGGAAAGAGATATTGATGAATACATACAAAATAAAATGGCCTATTAGCCAGATGCCAGGATGGTCAGAATGATCAGACTCATCAGCATCAGACCAATAACGGTGCCGCCAGAGGACTTTGCCAAATGGACTCTGGAAAGAATGAACACACAGTGGTTCGATCTAAATCAGACTGATCTATGGACAATGAAGAAAGGCAGATGCTCAAGGAAGAAGATGGAAAGCTTAGGGAGGTCTCCATGTCTGTGCCTCTGTAGTCGGCTCTTGAATTCTTCACAAATCCAAATCTCGAGACAATGACCTTGGCCTCCATACTGGGACAGTGAGCAGCATGCAAGGTGTCTTAATTCATGGCGCACCTTCACAGGATCCTTTTGAGCATCGAGTGTGTCCATTTTGCAATGAGCACAGGAAAATTTTAAAGAAAACCCAGGTTTCCTTTTTCCTTGTGTTTGCTGATCTTCCAAGGAGCTGGAAAGTTTGGTTCTCTCCAAAAACAGTTCCACTTTGCCTTGCGATGCATGGTCTAAATTCCTGAACTGATCCAAAATGACCAATAACTCTAGCTAGAACAGCCAGTCCACTTCCTAATGAAGAAGATTAGGGAAAACAAACAGCAGCTCTGCAAAATCTCCAGGCGAGGAGAAGAACCATGGATCAGAGAGGCCTCAGAGGAAACTATTTGGTCCCAGGCAATTTAGATAAACTACGCTGCTGGGAAAATATGAAGAAAACACTGAAGCAGCAGTTTCCTGTTTTTGAAGCCCACAACATAGCTGAAATTGCTGGCTTTTACGGATGCACAGGAGGAAAGTGAATCCTCAGTGCCGTTACGAACCCATCCTACTCCATGGTTTTGGGCACCCATTGGCATTTCACGTTTTGAGAGGTCTGTTTTCTCGTTGTTGATAAGGCGTAGAAATATTTCACTTCCAGACAAGACTCCCCTGGTGGACCTCTGTCAGACTAGGTTATCTGTCCCCTGCATTAGTCATGTCTGCTCAAGATCCACAGCCTCATCTTTGTGTCCGCCGATGGTAAACACACCTAAGACATGTAATTCTCACATATGCCAAAGCTAAAGGAGAAAGACCTTGAGATCACCTGCTCTTTGAGATTATTAATGCCCCCCAAAACCTTCACAGAACCTCAGAAAACAGACAGGGGTTTCAGAAGAGAGAAAGCCCAGTAGGCTTTGATGTTTAATAACTTCCCACTGTCATCCTCCGGCTGAGAAAGCACTGCACCAGGAGCCAAGAGGCTACTACAGATCAAACGAGAAAAATGTATGGGAAGATGATTCTGAAAGTAAAGCATTTGTACTTGGAAGGAATTGTTAGAAGTGCCCAGACATCAGCTTTAAAATAACATATACTGTGGAAAATATATACCCATGGATCTGAAAGTTATTTCTATCTCAGCAAAACTAATCTACTTAGATCCTCTGAGTCAGGTTTAAAGTTATTTTAAAATAGGGAGGTATAAAGTTTGTACGATATGCCAAAAGTTATGGAGCCATCGCTCTCAGCTGGAAGTCTGCGACAAAGATTTGTAAAAGATCTGCCTTTATATGTACTGTGCCAGGCAGTAATCTGGACACTGGGGACGTAGTGATGAATATATAGAACTAAATGGACAGAGATGATAGTGATTCTCCCTCTGCTGCTGTAATAGAACTGGCATCGTCGGTTTGAGCTTACTTGAAAAGGAAAAAAGGAATGAGTTACAAGATGCTTTGACGGCCACTCAAAGTGTCAGGGTGGACTTGAGTCCTCAAACAGTTGAAATAGTGAAAAAACATAGCTTCCTCCACCCACACGCTTTCTGTGTTCAGGCTCAATCTAGAGATGAAAACAGTCTCTATTTAAGTTTCTCTTTTCCTCAGAAACTAGTTTGGGAAAAAACTTTAGTTGGTAATTTTCTAGTTGAATTAAAACTCATAAATATATAGAAAAATATTCTCCAGCAAGCGTCTTAAAATAGCAGAAAGGCAGACCAGCATGGTGTCACAGAACCAGAAAGCTTTGAAGATCTGTCATGGGTGGGGGGGAGTTTCAAATCCCAGCCAGTCGCTTAAATCCTCTGAACTTCAGCTCTTTCATCTATAAAATGGGCATGAAGTCATGAGGATGAAATAAGATGACATATTGTATGTTAAACAAAGGTTAGTTCTGTTGCATACAATGGAAGGTGTGAATTCTTCCTCCCCAAAATTAAGAATTGCTTTCATGATTCCTCACTTTAGAACATTATACCCCCATTATTTCATCTGAGCCTTACACAATTCATTTTTGGATGAGGAAAGTAGGACTCAGAGAGGCCAACTGACTTGTCCAGTGATCACACAGCTAGGAAGAAAAGCAGTCAGGACTGAGACCTAGAACCCTTTCCACCACACCATGCATCCCCCCGCCCCCACCGTGGCGGTGGGAGTGATACAGATGCTCGTGTCCCCAAAGAAAGGAGGTGGGAAGGAAAAGACCTGAAAAGTTGAAATCTCGAGGTTCTTCTTCACTTTGCGATCCTATAATAAACTTCTAAAAGGGCACGTAAAGTCTGTCCGAACACTGACCTCAAACCTTCCCCAGCGCCTGCTCACTCCGACCCATCTGCTCCCTGGACTGAGTGAGCAATAGCATCTTGGAACTTAAAGGAGTCTCTGAAGGTCATGGTTCTGCCCTTCTGCCTTCAGATAGACGAAGCAGAGATAAGAAAACAGAGGCCCTGAGATGACGAGGGTCTTGCCCAGAAGCAAAGAGCCAATGGAAAAGTGAGGAGTGACTGGAGTCCAGATCTCCCGCAGCCTGACGAGACCCTGTTGCTACTGCCCGGGCTGCTCCTCCTTCTCAGAGTCTTAGCACAGCTTTTCTGATGCTCAGCATTACTCAAGTTCCCTGCTTCTTGGAGGCCAGTGAGAACAGAGCAGCCGCCCTCCCTTAAAGAGACATTGGGAGTGGAGAGGCGTTGTGGCTGATGGGGATTCCTAACAGAGCCAGCCTTACAACGCATGGACACAAGCCTCAGGTCTCATAAGGTCTGGACAGAACCCTTCTGCCACCCCAAACCCCTTAGAGCTTCTCCAAAAGTCAGTGCCCAGCTGACCCGTCCTAAAAGAGACCTTGGTTCTCTATGCCTTACGGCGGCTCACACGGAAAGTGGCTAATGGACTCTGAATGGCAAGGGTCTGAGAATTACTTCCCGCCCACAACAGAAAAGCCCTGTAGAACATGGCTAATGGCTGGTTTTTGAGCTAATGGTGACCCTTTTTGACCAATCACATTTATGGAGCCTGGACAATTTCAGGGATGGAGACTTACTCTCCTACAAAGGAGTTCATTCTGTTTTAGATCCTACCTATTGCTTTCAGCCCCCTCTGTATGTCAGTACCATCGCATTCCGAATATCTGCCAGAGTTTTACAAGTTTCTTACAGATTCGACAAGAGTTGCTGCTTGCTCTTTCCCCTTTTGCAATAGAACCCCTTACATTTAAATAGCGCCCCTAGTTTTCTGCGTGGTCTCACCTACCTTGTCTCTTCTGATTCCGAGAACAATCACCTGAGTCAGGTTTGAGAGGCTTTATCAGTCCGATGTTATAGATGAGAAACTGAAACCCAAAGATGCTAAGTGTCTTGCATCACTTCAAAGGGGAAGTGAAACTAAAAACTCCCAGCACATTGTGCTCCTCAGAAAACTATACTAGTTTTGACCCTACTCTCTAAAGAGAAAAAGAGAGAAACCCTTTTTAGATGAAAGGAAACCAAGATTCAGGTTGTCAAGCCCATTTTGAATCTGGACTGTGGTTCATTTTCTCTCTAATCTGCTGTGGCCACACTTACTTTTGTCAAGACCAAGAGGTCCTTCCCTAATCCACAAGACAGGGCTGGTTGGAAGCAGAATGTGGTACCTAAGCGGGACTTTGGGGGATGAGAGAAATGAACAACTTCAGCACCTTCAGCTCACAAGCCCCAGCATCCTCAGGAGCACCCCTTAATAGCTGCCTAGATCTCTGCCCTATCCTGGGTGTTCCAGGAAGGCAATTAGAAGATCAGAGCGGGGGTTTGGGGGAGTGGATTTGCCACTGATGGGGGTTCTCTAATCAGGCCCTAAGCTTCTAATTAAGCTTCTCTGATTCCCAGAGGAGAGAAACCTTTAGAAAAAGGCCCCTCAAAGTTATGTTTCTCAATCTGTCGCCATTCAGCCTTTGTCCTGTCTGGCCGTCCCCACCATAATTGAGTCTCATTTGGAGGATGAGGGGAGATACTGCCACATTCTCCCCTCTAAGGAGTTGTCATCAACCCAAGGTAGCCCTTCCTGACCAATCTCGTTTACGAGGCATTTAAGTGAGATAAGTGACTATGTGAAGTCCCAGCAGCCCACTCGTTCATTTACTCAACTAATATTAATAATCTGTATATAAAGTACTCAGAGTAATACCTAGCACACCATGTTAGCTTTATCTATGTTTAACCCACTGACTCCTCGCAACGATCCTATGAGATGGGTACTGTTATGATTCTACTGTAGCGGTGAGGAAATTGGGACTCCGTGAGGAAAACACCACCCAGGGTTACCCGGTGGGGCAAGAGAAAGAGCTGAGACGGAACGAGAGGAGATATTTATACATATCATTAATTGGGAGCAAAGTTCACAGACTATTTTTATACTGTTCCATGGGGGTGAGTGAACAAGAAAAAGATTAACTGTTTTGAAGGAACTCAAGTGAGAGAGACCTACAGTCCACTGCGTCACTCCGGAAAGTGGCGAGACTCTTGCTGGGCAGCTCATGATGTCGGGGCCATAGAACACTGTACCCTAAAAGTCTAGGCAACCACAGGAAAAGAACTGGCCCCCAAACTTGCCACAAAGTCAGCAAGATTGCCCTCTTCTGATGTATCACATGCACTTGAACGATCTCAAGGATATTTTGTGATAACCTGGAG